TAATATTTATTATTTTTTAAATAGAGAATTTAATCAAATTAAAATTTTTAAATAGTAAATTAATGATTGAATATTTTAATCTACAATTAATATTAATTATTATTTCTTCATTTTTATTTATAATTAAAATTAATGTTTGTAACTGAAATTTTTTAACAAAATTTAATCTCTTAATTAATAAAATCATTAATTCATATATAATTACATATTAAACGTAATCTTAAATTATGTTACTCATAATTAATAATAATTACTAACATATTTTGTATTTTATTTTTTTATAATGAACAATTTAATTAAATTTAATCTCTTAATTATTAATTAATATGATTATTTATATAATTACTAATTCACTAATTAAATACAATTTGAAGCTATTTGTTACTAATACAAATATAGAAGGAAAATAAAAATAATATTATAGAAAGTGCTATATAGATAATATATCATTGTCACTTTCAATTTCTATTAAAATTATAATAAATAAATAAATCATACTGATTCATTGACAATGTACATGGAAATAAGGATCCAATTCAACATTAACAGATTATTTTTCCTTCATTTTCCTACAAAATAAATAGTTGCATATTAACAAATAATTTAAAATTCAAGTTCAATGCAAATAGGAAAATTGTTATCTAATTTTTCACAATTTCTCTTTATCATAATTTATTCAAAAATGTTCTTTCCCACAATCTCTTTCCTAATAATTGATACAGGTATCAAACCATTCCCAATAATAAGCACTTAAAAGATAAAACAATTCACTATCACCACTTGCAAACTTTTTCATATCTTAATCTTCTATGACCTCGTTTGGTAAAACACGATATCTAAAGTTATATGTTATCTGGTTGATTTAATTTTTATTAAAAAGTTAAGACAATTATCTATACCTTCTTTGTGGACTTCAAAAGTTCATTTTACCATTTACTATACTTAAAAATTATAAAACCACAACTTTTAAACCTAATTCTAACAACTTAACCTTAGTTCACTAATTTGATCATAACTTGAGTTATAAACCTCTTTTTTGGGTGATTCTAATGCCATTTAAAAACTAACATCGGGGCTAATACTCTTATGAATACATTAAATTTGTTGTTATCACACTTGATGAAGTACTTTTGTGCTCGATGTGACCGACACCACACTTGGTGAGAGACTTACATCCTAACGAGGCATAATTTGCGCTCAACGCCAAGGAAACATAGAGTACTTACAAATCATCACACCTAGCGCAAAAAATCTGCACCCAAGTGATCATGAAGTTTGTACTTGCCAAAAACACAATTTTAGATTTCTAAAGCTCAGCCAAACCATTTTTATCACTTTTAATCAAAATCCAATCGGTAAAACCTCAATTTAAAGTCTAATAGTATTCTTTTATACTATTAATTACTTGAACTACCTATCGTTTACTCAACTACAAGTCATATGCTTCAATTTGAATCTTGCTCTATAGATTGGGTTTCCTATAGGAATCTAAGGGCTTTCACAATGATTCACAATATCATATGCACAAAGCCAAATATGCATTCAAGGGAATGAATTTGTTTATGATGAAGATCAATAA